ATAACTCAAAAGCAGTAAGGCACTGTCAATAACAATATAATCCAAATGCTATCCTTAGACACAAGACAATTCCTCTAAACCAATATGAATAACAGATTGTAGTAACTGCAGAAATTAGGGTGTAGGTAGAAGTTCCGCCTTTCTTTGAAAAAAATATTGGCTGTGCTAATGTGTATAATTAATTTTCTATGCATGACATCACAGGACATGACATCACTGGATGTTAAATTACATCACAGGGAGTAACATAAGAGAGAAAAAAAATTTGGGAAGGGAAAATTCCCTAAATCATTAAAACAACTTCCAATATGCGTGCTATGTCTGACTGTGCATGTAGCACTGAAGTGTATTAGTGTATGTATATTGTTTGTGTATGTGTATGTATGTATGTATGTATGTATGTAGTAGTGTGTGTTAGTGTATGTGTCATTGTGTGGATGCTTTCAGTTGTGTCAAGCACCAGTCAAACATCAACAAACACTAGCTGAGACAGTAAAATACCAGCCATGTGGCAACCCTAGGCTTAGCCCTACCATAAAGTCTAAGGAAGGGAAACAAATGCATGGAGGGGAAGTGGTGAGGACTTTTAGATGTCAAAACAACTGATATTGCGCTCCAGGATGTAGAGTCTACCCTGAGCCACCAGTACCATAAAACATGTGTAGAAATAAATATAACACATGAAGGTCTGGTTTATGACATATATTTTCACAGGTCTGCATCAAGTCATTAGCAAATATTTAGAGGTGATCATACACACGGACTATAGAAAGGGTGCTATTAATCTTAGATTCATAGTTCATCCCCACGCAAGAATGGAACAAATGTTCCACCACATTCCATATTTGCCATCCTTTTATTAAGGTAAAAACATCAAAGGTGAGAGCATTTTAAACTCTCTTGTCAAGCCCAAGATAACAAGTTGCTTACCACCTTTGATATATGTGCCTCAATAAAAGGATTGACGACATGAAAGGTGCACTGGACCATTTGTTCTTTAATATCTTGAAAAGTTGGCTGAATGAACTATTCTCTCTAGCTCATACTGTGTCATAATTGTTTCTTTCAATACCCTCTATATCATCTCTGGTGGTTCAGCCTGAAGAGAGTACACAACCTGTGAGTGACAATGTTTGCTGTCCTTTGTGTGCGAGTATTTTCTGCTTTAGAGCACTGAAAGACATCACCTGAGCAGAACCCCATGTGCTGTCATCTAAAAAGCTCCAGAAAATCTGACAAGTAACTGTAAGGGTCCGTGTCTCCAGAAGTTGGACAGACATAGTGGTCTTTTTTCACAGCAGTGCTCTAGTTGGGAGATCTTCCAAGAAGGTGGTCAAAATAACAGAAACATCTATCAATATATTGACATCAATTACCGCATAAAAAGAAGGGTCACTCATTGCCCCCTTTATAGTTCTCATCTTTAAAATGCAGTCACAACACAACCTATCGCAGCGTAAGCAACCTTCAGCACACCAGATGTTGTGGACGACATCTCCAGTGATGCATTGTCAGCATTATGGCTGTAAAAGCATTATGGGAGATGTAGTCCACAACAGCTGAAGTGCTGAAGGTTTACTACCCTTGACGTATAGTATTGCAACAGAATGATACAGATTGAACTCAGGCAAGACAACTTGGAGTTGGAGTTTAGCATTACTGAGATTTCAGCCATTTGGGTCTAAAACGTATAATTCTATTGTTATGTTGTTCCTATGCTTGTTTATTGATGACATTGAGTAATCTATAACTATAAAGTGCCTTGTGTTATTTTATGCAAGGCAGGTGCACTTTAATACCCAATCTTTCATTCTTCCTGTTCTGTCTTCTATTGCCTTCTATTTCTCATGAGAATTGAATGTTTATTTTTGCATTCTCTAAATCCTGTTTTTTTGAGGCCAAGTATTATATTTGCAGAGGGCTTTCATTCCTTTGTGACTCACTGAAACCTGTATGCTTTTTATCCAATATATTCCCAAGTTTAATGAAATTTATGTAAACCCAGGAGCATTTCTTCCTGACTCGCTCCACATTTTAGCCAGAAAAACAAAGATTTGCGAGTGTTATGGAACTAAATTGTAGATGCATATTATTGTAGCGATTGGTGGAGCAATCAAGTAGATGAATTAAACATCACTTCTTTCTTGAGAGTAATGGATGTCATAAAATTAAAGACAGGTCTTTTTGCCTTAAGTCCAAAGTTTTGGTGAAAAATGAAAAATAATTAAACATAAAACTTACTGTGGCCATTTCTTTAATGCTTCATGATTTTATAGTTATTACAGCAGCGTCTGGCGGTATTATATCGTAATGAAAAAATCTCATTCCTTGACAGATCTTTATACATTTCAAATTGCATGGACCATTTTATTTAACGGATTGGTTGGCAGCCTTTCTTAAAGGCTAACAGGGTCACTTAGGGGTTCCTCACTATAAGGGCAGCTTTTATCCACTAGGGGGCCTATTCCCATACTGGTGAGTTTTGGTGATACTCTAATTGATTTGCAAATCCTAGCAATAAATAACCAAGTTGAAAAACATATTTATGTTTTCCAATTACACTTGTTTAGTCAAAAAATGTTTGATTTTAAACATTGTTCAGTGAAAAGATGTTTAGGTACTATTACATGTAAGTGGAAAAATCGGACTAGGGGGATCAATAATCTGATTTCTGTTGTTTGGTTGCAAGAAGACTGTCACTTAATATTGCTTTTATTCACAGATCAAGTGAGTAATTAACAAATATATAATATATGAATAACAATAGTTTTTTTTGTTTTTTTTTAATGTTCCTCATCATTTCCACGTATTAGTTACTTTTTCTCAGTTGATCTGTGAACCAAATTGCAGGAAAATATTCCTATTAGTACACTGAAGAATTTTTTTTTAGCTAATATTACACTATGTAAATCTTTTTGCTCCATTTCTTGTACCTTTTTGGTTGGTTTGCCTGATTCGGTATTCAAATTGAACTGTGGTTGAACAGTACAGACATTCCACCGAATTTTGGATCTTTAGATACATTTTATTTTCAGTAAAAAATAGCTTCAGCTTGAATGAAATTTCTTGCCGTCTACAATTCTAGCTGCATCCATGAAATGTACAATTTCTTCTTTAATGCCATAGACTCTTGTAAACAGATTGCAATCAGTTGTAACTATTCCATTTTATGATAAAGAGCTTGCGATGTGTTTTGGGTCACACTGCCATTCTTAACAGCTTGCAGTATGTTTTTTCAATTCTTCTCTTTTGTCTTGTCTCTACACCTTACACATCGAGAGATAACAGTCAGGTATACAAGATCACATTGTTGTATATGTAGCTCGTACTGCATATCTTATGCATTTTTCGAAGCAACTTTAATATAGAGTTAACAGCTCTCTGTGAAGAAGTTGCAATCTGTACTAAATAGCTTGCAGTCTGTGTTCACACAGTTTGTGCTGAACAGCTTGCAATCTGTTTATGATCCCACAATCTAGCCTGCTTGAAATCTATTGATATCAGATTGTGCTAAAGAGCTTGCCATTCATTTTAGAGGTGAGAACTGTCAAATGTGCAATTTATTGTACATTTTACAGTTTGTCTTTAAGAGTTTGCCGCCATCACAAGCTTATTTAATTCCACAAACCATCCATCACCAGCTTCTGTTTTAGATTTGCAATTTTTTCTAAAGAGGTTGAAATCTGTTTTTACATTTAATAATGTCTTGAGCAGAAATCTTTACAGATAGTCATTGCCATGAATAATTAATGGGGTGTATGATGGGATAGATAGATAGATAGATAGATAGATAGATAGATAGTCAGATAGATAGATAGATATATAGTTAGATAGATAGATAGACAGACAGACAGACAGACAGACAGACAGACAGACAGACAGATAGATAGATAGATAGATAGATAGATAGATAGATAGATAGATAGATAGATAGATAGATAGATAGAAATGTTACCCAAGCAGGTGGTTAAGTGTGTGTATGCATGTGGTGGCTGAGTGTTGTGTATATGTGTTTTGGCAGCAGCATTCTGAGTCATGCTGTCAGGATCACTCTCAGGGCCACAAATAGAGGTTTTAACCCCTTAAGGACCAAACCTCTGGAATAAACACATGTCACGTGTCCTTAAAAGGGGTTAAAGTGAACTGCACCCAACAAATCAGATGTGTCCTCATTCACAACCCTCTCACAACTATCCACATACATCCCACATTATTCATAGTTATCCACACACTGAAAAACAGATCACCAACAGCTATCACAGCTTCCCACACACATCTGTCACAGCTACCTACACACATGACTTATAACTACACACACGCACAATCACACACCTCACTCACAGCTACACAAACATGTCACTCACTGCTACTCACACAGCTATGTACTTTAATTATAGCTACACACACATCACTTACAGCCCGTTGTGTACATCACATGAAGCAACAAAACGAAACTCGCATACAGCTTCAATACTTACAGTCAACCCACACCTACATAATGCAGACACACACCATTCCTGTTCAACTTATGTAGCTTCTAAATACAGAGAAGAACCTCCAAGGATAAACTCTAATACAATGGCATGTGTACACCAACGATCACTATGTTTCATTACTGTAAGACAGTGCTTCTCAAAGATTTTTTACAGAGAAGTACCCCTGAAGGTCTAAATAAAAGTACTACTGCCATGAGAAAATAATTTTGATTAATTTAAGTTCCAAATGAAATGTGAAGACACTGATTTTTAAGTTAATCCCATATTGGAGAACAAGCCTGACTAAATTTAGTAAACAGTATTTTGAAAACAAACATGACATAATGTGCAAACTGTGTAAGTAAGGAGTTGTGTATGAACTATTCATCTGAGGTATATAACACTGACACACACAGTTACACATAGAGGACACAAATAGTGATGTCGCTAACCATCCATGAACTTGCCACGAACGGTTCGCCGCGGTTCGCCACGGTTCACCACGAACCGTTCGTGGCGAACTCCGGTCAGCTGACACATCCCTGCCAATCTCCGGCAGACCCTCCCTCCCAGACTCTCCCACCTCCTGGACAGCATCCATGTTGAAGCTGCCTTCAACATGGATGCTGTCCAGGAAGTAGGAGGGTCTGGGAGGGAGGGTCTGCCGGAGATTGGCAGGGATGTGTCAGCTGACCGGAGTTCGCCACGAATGGTTCGTGGCGAACTGTGGCGAACCGTTCGCAGCAAGTTCGAGGACGGTTCGCGACATCACTAGACACAAACACACATTTACACACAGAGGACGCTGACACACAGTTACACACGTAAGACACAAACACACATACACATTTATACACAGAGAACACTGACACACATTTATACACACAGGACACACACACACACACACACTTGGTATGACTATCCAGTTAAGTTCTGGTACAAACAGAGCTCACATTGCATTAGAAGAAGAGAAAAAGAAACATTGTTTCTCCTCCACTTATTATTTTCCCTCCTGGCCTGTGATTATCTCTGTATCCATAAAGATATTTAATGCATGTCCTGTGAAGTTTTCTGTGTTGATTGACAGCTACAAAGACTGCTTTTTGTTTGTTTGTTTGTTTGTTTGTTTATTTGTTTGTTTGTTTGTTTGTTTTGTATGTTTGTTTCTTTACAGAAAAGGGCAAAGCTTATAATAATTATTGACAGGGAGCAAAAATGGAGACACCCAGTTACAGGATAGAGCAAAATACAGCAATATGGATTTCTACATTTAATATTTTCAAACAGAACTCACATGCACATATTTGTTAAATAGAAGGAAGAACTAAAGAATCTAGGAAATTACTTTTCACCTTTAAAGGAACCTTTGTAGAGTAATTAGTTTTCTTTAGACATTAGCTTACAGCACCTCAGATTTTTGGAATTCAATGCAGCTATGATATTTAGAAAAAAAAATCTATTTATTGCAGTTCAAAGAGCTCACAATTCAGAGTTTCTAGTAATCCGACTTCTGGCTACTCCCCAACGAAAAAAAACTTGTATCAACCTCTAGCTGGAAGTATGCATAAATCTGTCTACAGTGCGTGTTGGGGAAATGCTTCTGCTTTCATTGAGAAACTTGGATGCTCATCAAATACCATATTAAATACAATTTTTACTTGGTGAAATGGCAATAAATGGGAGATTGACTGACTTTTTATGACTTGGCTAAGAAAGGACATTGAAGAATATGATGCTAAATAAGACAAAAGTTCTGTAGAGTAGAGATGTCAAGCTTGATCATCGATCACTTTGCTCCTGCCTGAATTTTAAGAGTGCTTTCATTTACCTGTACCCCCAAAATATATGCAACACTACCAGTGTTTGAAATGGATCCCCAATTCTCCTATGCGGCAATGCTGTGTCACAATTCATTTTAAAAAAGTGTCTTCATTTAAAGTCTGGAACAGAATGTCCCTTTATTTATAATGATCAACCTGTCTTTCATGATAAGCACGCTAATAAATAATGAGATAAGTCTTCTCCTTCATAAGACTGTTAAGAAGCTTTTAATGTTTTTATTGGTTGACAGAGGGATTTTCAATGGAAACATCTCAGTGTTATCAGACTACAATACTTTTGCTGAATGATTAAAGTTCCACCCTAGTCTAAAATCTGATTATCAGTTTGGCTATGGCATATCATAAGAACGATTGTCTCTGGAGAAGTTCTGCAAATGGGAAGTGAAGGAAAGTGCAAGCAAGATTGTTAGAGTTAGTGAAGTTGAAAACTGTTTTTTTTGTAAACTACAAGAGGATATTCAATATGAGTATATAGTCATTATTTAAAACTTTGTATATGAGAATCCATTTAGAATAGACTCTCAAAGGATGCATGACTGATATAAAGTCATTTCGCTCAGACTGGAGTCTTTGGTGTCTGTTCACTAAAGTGGTGTGAATTCATTCCAAAATATCAGGATAGGGATTTTATTGAATCCATGTGACCCAAGGTAAAACTACCTACTTTTCTTTCTTAGATAACATTTAGAAATAAATGCTGAGTAGTTGCGGAGCTCCCAAGCCTGCATGGACTAGAATAACTAGATTGATCTGCATACATTAGTATATTGGTAGTAAGATAGACTTTGTACTGCATGGAATTCGAATATATTTTAAGCGGTTCGGTCACTTTAAGACATTCTGTTTGTATTGACTTGGCTTTCTAAGAGGAATTTAAATGATAGCATAAAGCTAAAATAGAAAACAAAGTTATCATCAAATTTTCACAAACACCCCACTTTGTTAAACCATTTCCTACAGACTTCTCTTGTTTTCTATGTTTGAAACTATGTTTGAAACTGCAAGAGCAATTTCAGAGGGTGGGTTTTCTCCTATTTAGAACATTTTATAAACAAGGTATTTTATATCTATGTTTATTTTTTGTGTTTTGTTTTAGTCTTTTTTGGCACAGTTTGATGCAATCCAGGTGCACTTGGTACACGTGCTATGCTTGGAATACTTCAAAGAACAAACACCTGCACAGTTTCGTATGAAAGCAGCACTTGTTGACTCATTTTGTTTATGAACAACATACAAAGGGAACAACCTCCATATTGACACTGTGTGTGCCAGAATGGCTTGCTTTTCATTGATGATACATTTTGTACTGATAAAACAGATGAGCCATTTTTAAGATAATTTTTCTCAATAGTTTTTATTCCTCCTCACATTTCACATTTTTATAAATTTAAATAAAAATCCCCATTGATATAATAGATTCCCTTTGTAAAGACACAACTATATTTTCAATGATCTCAATTTCAGCATATGCAACATTCCTGAATGTTGTATTGTTTGTATTGAGTCAATGTCTCACGTTAACAACACTTCTACAGACAGAGTCATGTTTGAATGTGTGAAAGTCGTTATACAGACCTTGCAGAAACAGTGAATCTTTACTGCATGTATTATATTCAGAGATCTGCTACAAGCCACAGTGCCAGTTCTGGGCACTGATACATCTTTTCCATTTTCCTACCCCCTAATCTGCTCAGAATGTAACTATTTTAATGTGTATGCTTGTTTTCTTTTTTTATAATTCTTTATTTCAATGTTTATGTATGTTTGTGTTAATTTATGTTTTCTGTATATTGACAAAACAAAGTTAGTTTATAGATATGGACTATAGGCATTAAAACGTAGAATAAAGAGCATGAGAATTGTAATTGTGACAGGTGTGGCGGTCCACTGAGTAAGGAATTGTGTAAGTCAAAAACAGAACAGACATGGTATCATAGAGGTAGTACATCAAATAAGTACTTATATCATGCAAAAATGCATTCTGAAACACTGGTTATCCACAAATATCCAGTTGCGTTAATGGGCTAAGAGACTCTTAGCTTGATGTCACTGAGTAAAAAAGTGTTAGTTGCAGGGTGCTCAGTTTCTAATATATTATGAATGCGTTCCATGGTTTGTCAGAGTAATTTCTTTTGTTTTGTGGATATTTTTTGGGGTTGAAAATGGCAGCAAGAGTTGTAGTTGGTACTTTATGTGAGTTGGAGGCTATAGTAAGTAATTTGGATTCTCATAATAAATGCTTAATGGTTTAAGTTTTGTAATGGAGATTGTAGTGTGATTCCGGTGGAGAATGAAAATATACTGCAAACATTTTTTATTCTGTATTGCACTTTTGTGTCACTCTGCACTGCTCGGACATGCACAATAGCTGTGGTCAGAGACACATAAAAGGAAACCTTCTAAGGCCACACCGAGACCCCTAAAATGTAGCAAAATGTAGCCGAAAAGAGATAGAAAATATAGGAACTAAAAGACTGAGTGGAATAGCATCCTTGTACTTTTCTGTTAATTAGGTTTCAGTGTATTTGGGGAAGAGGATGAGCTACCTAGCTGCTATATATATATATAATGTCAGCACACCCCATAAAAAATATTCTAAAAGTCATTCTACGCCTGGAAAACCCTAAGCCTACTAAATGACAACCAATCGATGCCGAAACATTCAGGGCCTTATCTGACATGTTAGACACCAAACCTTTTGAAACCCATGCGATAACACGATTAAAACAGCCATATACCTGGCCTTTTATGGGTTCATGCGACCCAATGAACTCACCATAGGGAACAGCAAGGACAAGTCAAATATGGTATGCATTTCACACCTAAACAAAATAGGTGATCACTATACACTGTCATTACGGCACTCCAAAACAAATCAAATGGGTCCACCCCTCGACATTCAATATTACCCTACAGATAATCGTTGGTGCACTGTAATACTGTTCGACAAATTCATGACAGGCTAGGCTGACCAACCCAAACAAACTCCCTTGCTCATCATACATGGTCAACCCCTAATTACCTCGAAGTTCATCAGATATGTAATATTGTTGTTCACAAGAATCAGGTATGATCCCGCGGCATTCACTGGCCACTCATTTCGTGTCGGGGCTGCTACATCAGCCTCCAGCCAAAACATACCGGTGCATATCATCAAAAATTAGGCAGATGGAAGTCATCAGCATACAACTATTACATACCTCAACCTGAGAAAGAGATAAGACAGGCATTTAACCACTTAACCCCTTAAGGACCAAATTTCTGGAATAAAAGGGAATCATGACATGTCACACATGTCATGTGTCCTTAAGGGGTTAAATAACTGGCAAAATAAGAATTCAAGGGTGACTTCATGTATACGTATAAAAGTATGGAACTCAAATTTCTCTTGTGCCCTCTTTATTTACAGGCCTACCCGTACGTCGGTTTTGGCACACCACAACCGACTTAGTTTATTATACTAATGGCTATAGGTCTACAATTATATGGCTTTTTTCCCTGACCACAAATGGGAAGGCGGAGCCTGTAGTTGTGGGAAGGGTTGCAGCCGGCCTATATAAACTCTCAACTTACCTCCATACTTTGCTGACAGCGCTTGGTTACCCCACCGCCACTCCACAAAGATTAAAACTACTAATTGGTGGGCCCTCTTTATTTACAGGCCTACCCGTACGTCAGTTTCGGCACACCACAACCGACTTAGTTTATTATACTAATGGTTATAGGTATAGGTCCACAATTATATGGCTTTTTTCCCTGACCACAAATGGGAAGGCGGAGCCTGTAGTTGTGGGAAGGGTTGCAGCCGGCCTATATAAACTCTCAACTTACCTCCATACTTTGCTGACAGTGCT